ACGCTCCGCTCCTCGCTCACGCTCCGCTCCTCGCTCCGCTCACATGCTCTGTCCTAAACCAATCCTTTCCCAGCGATCCCTTAGAACCTTGAGTGCAAACATTCTGCATGTGAGTAGGAGAACAAACAGGGACACATTAATATCCTCAGTAATATCCTAAATTTCAGTTTCATTTCTCATTAATGATCTTTTCTTCTTAGTGGCTACTAAGCAGGGCCATGTGAAGTCCTGTCGAGGTTCTCGTAGTTGAAAGGACAGAGAGCCCCTTATCATATACGTTACGAAAAGTTCTAAAGCACATCGTATTTCCCACAAATATCAGAGAATATATAGTCTAATTTTTCAGAGCACATTACTTCTGAAGATGGCACCTCATACTGCGCTGCCACAGAACACTAATCCCAGTGAACTGCATTCAAAGGTCCTGTCCAGCTGCCATATGAAGCCTTGGGGAATCACGCTCTGCTTTGTTTCATTTGAAGGATTCTTGTACACAGCAAGGGTTTCATTCCATTTGCACACACAGCTATATTTATGAGCAAGCAAAGATGTCTTTGAGCACTGAAACACCCCTGTGTAGTTACCCATAGTTAATTCAATTCATTTATGCAGGCACTGATTTTGCAGAAAATAAATTGCGTTAAGTCTCAAAATGGGAACTGCCAAAACTAGCAGACTAATCAACACTGATGGACGTGGGGGAGCACTGCGTCCAGTTATATCAGGCAGGAGAGTCAGGTGACTAAATCTGTTCATACCTGCACAATTTTTTGAGAATTTGTAAGCCAAAATTTTACTGGATATTACTTGTTTTGTGTGTGAAAAAGAAAGAAAATTCATTGTAGTCATTGTAGTGGAGAAAATCCTACCACAATCACTTCAAAGGGTGAAGCAACAAAAACAGAAATGCTGGTAGCAATTAAAGTAGTATTGTGAAGCAGTATTGTGGAGTGAGGACAATTCCTAGGATCCTTGAGTGACGGGGACTGTAAAAAAAATTTGGAAATTAATTTTATAACCTTTTATTGGACAGTCATTAAACTTTCAATTTCAACATTATTTACTATATACAAATAAAAATAAATATTTTGGCAAAAAGAAGCAAATCAGACATTTTCTGTACTACCCTCCATTGTAGTTGGAATGATTCAAACTTCTTCACTTTCATAACACACTGGTTAGCCAATATTCACTAGCCAGTCTACGTTTGAAGTCGGAATGAATCCCAGGGTGTACATAAAATGCTGAAGTTAAAATCTGATTATCAGAAAAGAAAATTGAGGCTATAAAAAGCTGAAAAAAGAAAAGAGAGAGCGACAACTACTCACTTTGTTTTTCCTCACCCAAAGGTCTATTTATTTATGTTTGTTAGGGGTGTAACAGTAACAAAATTCATAGTGTAGTTCAGGGGTGGGCAATCTTATCCGCAAAGAGCCGGTGTGTATGCAGGTTTTTGGGATAACCTATAGGTCAGCTGTTCAAACCCAGGTGTGAGGACTCTTCAGCCAATCAATCCTCTAGTTAGTAAGTTAGATAGTAATCTAATTTGGGAGTTGCAGCGAAAACCCACATACATGCCGGACCTTTGCGGATAAGATTGCCCACCCCTGGTCTAGTTCAAACCTCTGTTTTGAGTTCATGGTTTGATACAATTTCAGTACTGTCACACTGGCCCCTGGCTTACTTATCAGGTAATTGAACCTGCTCTTAGCTGGTGGTTTTTGGAACACAGGGCTCACTTGCATCTCAGCAAAGGTTTGTTTAATGGCCTGGTGGTTTGATTGATTTGGGTTCATGCTTCTCATTGATTGGCATCTTGCTTTGGACTTCTGGGTAGCCGGTTCCTGGTTTGGGGATTCATGATCCCAAGTAGCTGGCATTCCACAGCTGGTGTTCTGTGCTGCTGGTGTCCTGTCTTTGGGGTTTTCTATGTGTATGTCCTGGCTTTTATGTACTTCCCCCTTTTGACAATCCCTAGTTCCTGGATCAGGATCTTCAGTCCTCTGCATTTGAATCTGCCTTCTCATTCACCTCATCCTTGAGCTGTCCATCCAGTCAGTGGCCCAAGTCCTCCTGGTTCCATGTCTCCAGCAGTGTTTGGACTGTTGGTCCCAGGGGCCAGAAGACCTGGCAAGTTGGATGGATGGCCCAAGTTGAGGTGTTTTGCCGTAGACCTTGTTTATGAAGGCTAATAAATGTTTTTGACCAGTAAGCACTCTGTCATGGCATGTAGAGAAGAGAAAACAGAATTCGTTTTAAAATTGAAAATGCAAACACAATTAGAAATAGTTGTGAACCAAAGAGAAGGTGTCACGATGTAAAGCACCCGGAGCGCAGACAAATGGGCAGGAAGCCAGAGATCGGGAACACAGGGTTTAATCGAAGGAATGGTAGGCAATAACAGACTGACAATACACGCAACAATACAGTGACCGGACTAGGGAAACGAACGGAAACGCGGACTAAATACAATGAACTAATGACAACAATTAGAAACAGCCGTAAAACACTGGGAATCCACATGAGGTTAATTAGGGGGGCGTGGCACAGAAGGATCGGCACGATTGGGGCGTGACAGAAGGCAAAGTGTCAGTTGATGTCTAATAAAACCTAAGAGACGCTTATCTGTACAGTAAAACTGGTCTAAGTCGCCGTCTTGTAACTCGTCAATGTGCATAAGTCAACGCTCAAGCAAAAGTCCCGATTTTTCCTAATGATGTTTCCTTTAAAATTCCTTGTGTAAATCGCCGCTTGTAAGTCGTCAAATTCCCTTAGTCGTCACCTAAATCCCGAACAACACAAATGAATGGATTTTCCTACCTGTAAGTCGACACCCCAATCGCTGCATTCCCGCCGCCTGCTTCACACCGCCTGCTTGTCACCACGGCGATGTAGAAACGGGGACTCCCCACCTATCGCACTAGTCGCTCCCTGGTCTTAAGTCTCGCATGTATAGAGTGCGTTGTAGTATCACAGTAGGCCTGTAGCACATGGAAGGGTGCAGTTCTTTGCCACTGTTATTCAAAATGGCTAGTAGCGGTTCAAAGCGTAAATTAAGTGCAAAAACTTATAAAGAGAAGTATGAAATCATAAAGTACACGGTGGCCAATCCAGGTCTAACAAAGATGGAGATTGCAGCAAAATTTGGCATCAAAGGGCCAATATTATTCGATATTATGAAAAACAAACAGAAGGTTATCGATGCCATTGAGAAAGGTGAGACTGTGGACACAAGGACAGGGTCAGTTAAACGAATCAAGCACGTATCGTTTGAAAATGTTGACTCTGCACTCATAAAATGGTTTCGTCAGGTTAATTCTAAACCTGAAATCCGGGTTGATGGTGAGATGCTGTTAGTCAAGGCACGCCAGTTTGCTGCAGATTTGGGGTATGACAACGTAGAGAAAATCAGTGACGGTTGGATCGAAAGATTTAAAACGAGGTATGAAATTGGAAAAGTATTAAAGGCAGGCGAGTCTGGTGGTGTCTGTACAGAAGTCGTTGTGGAATGGAAAACCGGTAAACTGAAGGACATTTTGAAGCGTTACAAAGAGAAGGACATTTTCAACGCAGATGAAACTGGGCTGTTTTATCTGATGCTCCCAGAGAATACCCTCGGCTTTCTTGGTCAGTCCCATCATGGGACCAAAGAAAGCAAGGTCAGGATTACGTTGCTAGTAGCAGCTAACATGGATGGATCAGAAAAGTTACCCATGTACATGATAGGGAAGAGCAAAAATCCGAGGGCTTTCAAGAATGTAGGAAGTTTGCCGGTTTCATATTGTGTGAACAAAAAAGCTTGGATGACGTCAACGCTGTTCGACGACTGGTTGAAGAAGCTTGATCGACAAATGGCAAAGGAGAAACGAAAGATCTGCATGGTGATTGACAACTGCCCTGCGCACCCCAACTACGAGCATGAGAACATCGAACTTGTCTTTTTGCCACCTGGAACTACAAGCCATACACAGCCTATGGATGGCGGGGTAATCAAGAATTTTAAGTTTCACTATCGCAGGATTCTTGCAACCCGACGTCTGGATGCAGCTGAGCAGGGAGTCCCCCTGAAATGGGACCTACTTGACACGCTGTACGCTGTAAAAACAGCATGGGGACGTGTAAAACAGTCAACCATTGCCAACTGCTTCCGCTCTGTGGGATTTGTCGCTGAAAATGATGATGTCGGTGATGGACCAGAAATTGATCGTGACAACCTGGAGGTGGTCGAAGATGAGGAGGAGACAAGGGAGTTTCGTAACGTTTGGGATAGGCTCAAGGATTTCTTCGGGGCTGATGCCATGCCATTCTTTGGAGACTATGTTGATGTTGACAGTAATGATACGGGGACCAAAGAACAACTAACTGATGCGGAAATTGTCGAGTCTGTCAGGGCTGAGACTACTGCTGACGATGAATCTGAGGATGAGGTCCAGTTGGCCGGTACTAGTGATGGGTCTTCTACCAGCACTGAAAACCCTCCTCCTACTATTCATGATGCATTCAAGGCCCTTGATGTCTTGAAGCGATTTGCTTTAACAGTGCCCGAGTGTCCTTCCGATATCATTGACCTGGGAGATCAGTATGAAAACTTTTTGGTTTGTGAAATGCCAAAAAGGATGCGGCAAACAACTCTTGATGACTTCTTTAGGCAGGGGGACAAGTAGGCTATGTAATTATTTTTGTTTCAGGAAACTTCAAAGGTGGGTTTTCACTGGCTGCAGAAATGGACACAAACTACGACGTCATTTAAGATTTTTTTTATTAGAACATTGTGTAATTTATGCTAAACAGGTACAGAATGGTGTGACAATTAAAAGTATTACATGTACAGTGTATTTCACACAAGATTTTTATTGATAATCCCTGGTAACGATCCCTGCTTATGCACATGTGTGTTTGAAAGATTAAAACCTATTTGTTATTACATTTCTTTTTTGTTCACCAATTCACCCAATGCAATGTACTGCGCTCTTGAAATTTACAAGTCAAGACCCTGACATGAACGCTGCACTCGAAGAGTAGTGTGATGCAATTATGCTTGGTACAGTATAGTGCTCCATACAATTAACGGCAGAGCATGATTCATCCAATGCGTGCAGCAGACCTGTCAGTTCTTCCATTAGCAATCCATGACAATAGATTGTTTTGAGGGTTCAACTTTCAGCTGAAATTGGACAGACCGGGGGGCAATAACATCATGGCAGTCTGTAAAAGACTTGGATGGCTTTATAGGGACCCATACTGCATGTACTGACTGGTCAAGGAAGGATGCCGAGGCTGTAATGAGTCGAGGTATGGTGTTATATTTACTAGTCGGCAAAACGGCGAGATAGACATAAGTCGCCGAAGTGTCGACTTTATAAGTCGGCAAAACGGCGAGTTATATTTACTAGTCGACAAAACGGCGAGATAGACATAAGTCGCCGAAGTGTCGACTTTATAAGTCGGCAAAACGGCGAGTTATATTTACTAGTCGACAAAACGGCGAGATAGACATAAGTCGCCGAAGTGTCGACTTTATAAGTCGGCAAAACGGCGAGTTATATTTACTAGTCGACAAAACGGCGAGATAGACATAAGTCGCCAAAGTGTCGACTTAGAGAATTGACGAGATACACCTAAGTCGTCACTTTTAAGCTGGTTCCGCAAGTGTCGACTTAGACCGGTTTTACTGTACATTGTAAAAAGATGTAAAATAAAAATTTAAATATAAGGCTGCATCATGAACTAAATCCTGTGTTCCCTTCTACAGAGTATGGTCATATACCCATAGTGTCATGATCGATCATTCAGCCCTCATGTGGACCACGCCTACCTTGTTAACCCCATGTCGATTCCTTCCATTTCCTGCTTGTAGTCCTGTGTATATTAGTCCGCGTTCAAGTCTGTTTCCCCAGGTCTGTCATTGTCGGTGTATGCCGTGTGATCCCCTGTCTGCTTGTTCCCCTTAATAAACCACATTGCTTTTGGACTCCCGCTTCCCTGATCGTGATTTTCCGCACCTCACTCGCTCGCCCGTCCGACGGACATAACAGAATGACAGACCTCGTTAACGACTCACCGCAGCAGACCGAGAACCAGTGCATCGGTCTGCTGCAGGAGGTGATTTATTAGCTAAACCAGCCCGAAGTCCAGGAGGATCCCGAGGCATTAGAGTTAGCCAGCTAGGACGGGACTCTCCTACAGGAGATGTCTCCGTCCGGGGACGCGCACCTCATGCGTAAGGTGCACAAACAACTCCGGCAGCTGGTGCAGTGGATTACGGAGCGGAGATCGCAGCTGACTACGCAATTCGGCAGCAAGAATGCGGACCCGACGTCCGTCCTCTCCGAAGCGACCTTGTCTCCGCCGACAAACCCCAGCTGGAGAAAAAAGAAGAGGAGGAAGGGAAAGCGGCTTGTGGAGACGCCAACTCTCTTTCTGAGGACCTGCTCGCTCTTCCCCGCCTCTCTCCCTTCCCGTGATCAGGGGAATCCCCGATCACCTCAGACAGCACAGCCGCCTCAGGGATGCAGGTACCCCACACCCGCCTAGCCGCTGCAGAGCAGCAGCCGATACCGGCTTCTCCCTTCAGGGAAGCATGCCGCCCCTTTAAAGGGGCCAGGGCAGTATGGGATGCTACACCACGGGTTCCTAGGGGTTTTAAAGGGTCAACGCCTGCCCTCGAGGTGCCGATCCTGGCGGCCATTATTGATGTTCCCGACCAAGAGTCTGAATCGCCTGTCCCAGATCTGCCTGTTCCCATGCTGCCGGGCCCGCTAGTCCCAGTGACCAGGGCACCACCTGAGGTCATTACACCCGCTGCGTCACCACCCTGCTGGGCTCCAGTCCCGGCTACTGTGTCACCACCTAGTTGGGTCCCAGTCCCGGCAGTGGAAGCAGTGTCTTCTGGGATGTCCCTGCAATCGCCACCTCTGCCAGCGGCCACGCCTGAGGTCCCGGCATCACCTCCATCACTGTCAAAGGCCCCTTCTGTGCCGCCACCCAGCTGGACCCCAGTAACAGCCACGGACACACCGATCGCCGAGGTACCCCTGCAGAACACGCCCGCAACCCGCCTACCTGCTGAGGTCTTGCCCGCGGCCCGCCTGCCTGCTGCCGCTTCACCTGATCTGCCTGTCCCGCCGGCACCTGATCTGCCTGTCCCATCTGTCTTGCCAGCACCTGATCTGCCTGTCCCGGTGGCTACTGCGGCGCCCCCTGCTGGACCCGAGTCAGCGGTCACTGCAGTGCCCCCTGCTGGACCCGAGTCAGTGGTTACTGCCACACCACCCGAGCTCCTTGCTGCGCTTGCTGCACCACCCGAGCTCCCTGCTGCAGCTCCGCTCACGCCCAAGGTCCCGGCGCCGCCTACAGCTCTGCCTCCACTTGCTGCTGCACCCGAGGCCCCGCCTCCGCCTGTACCCGGGGCTCCTGTGCCGGCCCCATCTCTGGCTGCGACCGAGGCGCCTGCTACGGCCCTGCCTCCGCCCGTGCCTAAGGTCCCGGCGCCTCCGCCTGCTCCACCCGCTGTTCTGCCCGAGCCTCCACCCACTGTTGCGCCCGAGGCTCCTGCTGTGGCTCCACCTCCGCCTGCTGTGACACCTGCAGCGCCGTCCACGCCCGAAGCAGCTCCAGCTGTGGCTGCCGCTCTGCCCGAGGTGGCTGCGGCCTCGTCCAATGTCCATCTGCCTGTCTCGCCGGCTCCGCCCGTCCTGCCTGTCTCGCCAGCTCTTGTCCCGCCTGTTCTACCTGTCCTGACTGTCTGTACCGTTCTGCTTGCCCAGGTCACGCTGGAAGGGCGTGACCGGCCAGTCCTGGTCGCTGTGCCTTCGGAGACCCCTGCCATGCTGCCGCCCATTCTGGCTGCGCACACGCCCGCCAGCCTGCTGCCGCTGCACCCGACACCCACCAGCCTGCTGCCGCTGCGCACGACACCCGCCAGCCTACCGCCACGCCCGAGGTAGCTGCGCCTCTTCTGCCTACCGCCACGCCCGAGGTAGCTGCGCCTCTTCTGCCTGCTGCCACGCCTGAGGTAGCTGTGCCTCCTGTACCAACGCCTGAAGTTCCCGACCCCTCGCCGATGTCCCACAGTCATGACCCGGTGCCTCGTCTACATCTTCCCATTCGGCCCGATGTGCTGGACCCGGTGGCTGATGTCTGGATCCCAGAGGGCCCTGTTCTGGCTACGGCACCGTTACTCAGCGGGACCCGAGTCCCGGCCATGAATACATCGCCTCCGGGAGCGTCCCAGCAGTCACCGTTGCTCGGCAAAGTCCCGGCCACCACGCCACTGCCCTCCGAAGGTCCCGGTGGCATCACTGCCCAGGATTCTTGCAGTGACACTGCCTCCTGCTACTCCCGAGGCTCCGATGCCTTCACCTGTCTCAAGCTTGCCCCTACAGGTGTTGTCTGACAGCGCCTGTCGTCCCGGCTCCGGCTGCCCCCGCTTCGTCTAAGGTTACGGCTTCGCCCCTGCTAGTCGTCTCACCCGGGCCCGGAACCCACCTGCCGACTGCTGCCTCGCCGGTGCCTAAGGCTGCCTCCCAACAACCAATGCTGCCTCCCAACAACCAAGAGGAGGGGACACCAGCGTAGAGGTCGAGGCTCAACTACGTGTCCCCCTCCAAGGGCTGGTCAACTGTCCTCGGTTCCGCCTTGTCGGCTTCCTGCAGGCCTGCCAACGGCGCCTCCTCTTTGGCCGCTCCGGCTTCGGCCACTCGCAGCTCCTCCAGCTGCCGCCTTTCGCCCGCTGGGGTTCCCTCGGTCCCCCCTTGTTCCTCCGCCCTTCTGCCTCCTGTTTTTGTCCCTCCTGTTTCTGCTCCTTGTCCCTCTGTGTCTCCTCCATTCCCTCCTAGTCCCTTTGTCCCTTCTGTCTTTGCTCCTCGTCCCTCGGTGCCTCCTGTGTTCACTCCTGGCCCTTTCGTTCCTCTCATTGATGTTCCCCCGGTGTCTCCTTTTCTGGTTTGCCTGTCTGCGTTTCATGTCTTTTGTCAGATTCTGTCTTAGTTTCTGCCCCTGTGCCTGTTCTATGTTTCTGTCCTGTTCCCTGTGCCCCAGTGATGCTTTTGTCTCATTTTCCAGGTCCTGTTCTCCCGGTCCTGTCTCGTCCGCCTCTTCCCTTGGGGCACGCCCAGAGTGCGTGCCTTTGGGGGGGGTACTGTCATGATCGATCGTTCAGCCCTCATGTGGACCACGCCTACCTTGTTAACCCTGTGTGGATTCCTTCCGTTTACCTGCTGTTTTGCATTTCCTGCTTGTCCCCAGGTCTGTCATTGACGTTGTACGAAGTGTGATCCCCTGTCTGCTTGTTCCCCTTAATAAACCCTGTTGCTTTTGGACTCCCGCTTCCCCGATCCTGATTTTCCGCACCTCACTCGCTCGCCCATCCGATTGACATAACACATAGCATTTAACATTCCTAAAGCCTAATTTTTTCCTTTTCTTCTTTTTTTTTTTTAACCTGATGTGAATTACCTTGCAAAAGCCTCTTAAATGTCATATCCGAGTTTGATACAACACCCAAGATACAATGCTTCCGATTCACACTAACTCTTCAGGGTTGGTATAATTTACTGGAAAACCAACATGTTTCCAAAATACAGATTTAAGTGACGTGGGAGGGCCTTCAAGCTCTCACTTTGCCATTATGACTGTACTGTAACCACACTGTAAAAAAAAAATA